TGTCATCTTTCTGCAAGGGTCATGTTAATCTTCTCTGTATCGTTCCAATTTTATCGGATGTCCCCGAAGGGACACATTAGAAGAGTCACTAACCCTCTAAGTATTTCTGTTGGTATGGCTCATATATTGACAAAGGAAGGAGGCAGGCTGATGCCTGCGAGCGTAGCTAGGGAAGCGGATCAGCCCCTGTTGGGCTGAGTCGATTAGTTGGGCCAGGGTGCGGGGGCGGAGCCGCCGCGGTACGGTACGGGGTATTTAAGTAAATTTATACCTTGTAGGATTTAGTATAAATACATGGTGTATTGATGTATTTGAGACTATTGAGAATAAACGAAATCGCTCTTCCGCCGTGGAAGGCATATTGCCGAACCATGTAAATCTTGTGTTGTTTACTTTCTCGTTTTTATTTCGTATGTCATATTGTCATCTTTTCACAACAATTTATAACAGCCTTTAATGGGGCTAAGTCATCATCTTTCCCATTGCACTTCTATGAAACTCTTTACATAGTATACGCAATTGTATGTAATAAATAAAACCTATATTTGTTGAAATGTTGTGAAATATTATAAAAGAAAATGGATGAAAAGAAAAGATATTGATAGTCAACATTTCCATTGTTAGTCTCCTCTCGTTGAAGCAGTGTTAAGAAATCAAAATTCTACAGTAAAATTCATAAATATATAAACATTATGTTGTATATAAGCATTTATTATATTAATATATTATTTATCTAAAACTTTAGCTGATGAAGCTACATCATTTTCAGTAACCCACTGACTATATTTGTAGACCAAAATTTCATCATTAACAACCTTAACCACTGAGAAGGCAATCGTATTAAAGTTTCGTTAATTTGGTCTAATAATCAACGGTTTTGTGGCCTAAGGACGCATGAACCGAAAGTGTGATCTCCAGCGGCGTGGCCTGAGGACAACGTAATGCCTTGAGATACGAGTTTTGGAGTATATACACATCGGTGTTGTGGCCTAAGTTCAACACTAACCGAGAGTGTGATCCCAAGCAGCGTGGCCTGAGGGTAGCGCTATGCCTTGAGATGCAAATTTTAGAGTTTATACTCAATTTTGTTGTGGCCTAAGGTTGGCGCTAACCGAGAGTGTGATCACGAGTGGTAGAGCCTAAGGTTGGCCTAATGCCTTGATATGTGAGTTTTGTGCTTATATATTTTTAGTATTTTATATAGGTAGGCATTTTATTATAAGTGTTTTCGAGTATAGGCTATTGTATAAATAGTTTTACGCCTGAAGTACGACGTTTTATCATAAGTGTTTCGAGTATGTATTGTATTAGTAGTCTGCGCTTAAAGGATGGTGGTTTATCGCTTTGGGTGTTTAGGTGTTTGAGGGGATAAATAAAGACATTTTTTTTTCTGATCTCTAGAGGATGTCCTAAGGAACTGAGGGGTCCACATGAACGATCGTCTTATTTTTCGAGAGGTTGAGTCCCTAGGGACGATCATCCTAGCATGGGAGGTTCTTTGTCTTTTGAAGGGGGCATAGCGAATTAGACCCCCCCCCCCCTCCTCTATGGGATCGTTATCATTAGTTGGATAGTCTCATGATGGATCATTATGTGTCAGATTGTCGTTTATTGGTATATCATGTTTTGGGACGTTGCGCGTTGGATCATCCCACATTGAATAATCATACATAGAATCATCGCGTATTGGATCGTCTCTCATTGAATTGTCTCACGTTGAATCATCATATATATATATATATATATATATATTCATCGCGCATTAGATTGTCTCTCATTAAATCCTCTCAAGTTGAATCGTCATGTGTACAATTGTCTAACATTAGATCGTCTCGCGTTGGATCATCTCATGTTTTAAGTTTTGATCCTTCTTATTGGTACCATAAAGGTATGTCGATAAAAGTACATGTATAAAATAGCGATCGTGTCGGGAAAAAAATACAACGATTGTGCTAAAAATACAAAAGTACAATGGTTGGAATAAGCGAAGTTGTCATGATATTCCCACGAGTACTTGTAACTTAGTTCAAATGGGATACATGATAACATAAATAACTTTGTTGTCCTATACGAATTACAGATAATTTCGCCTATCTATACATGTATTAATCCCAAAAAAGGAAATCCTTGTAAAGTTGTTGTTGGAACTTGGCTCTGATCGGACTTTTATCTCTCTTTGCATTCGAAAGTGTTGATCGGTGAGTTGTTTTTGGGGGACTCTAATGGGATGACATTCTGCTGAATCATTCTTCGAAACATTTTTGCACATATCAGCTCTATTGTTGCGATCTGGATGCCTTCGTCGGTCACGAGGACAAGTTGTGGTCTCAGCTGACCTGTCGGTTGAGATCGACCTGAGAGGGAGATTACTCTAAAATATGTGACTAGGATAGACCCCCGAGCGTCTAGTGGCAACCCAGCTTGGCGATCTAGACTTCGGACAATCATAATAAAAAAATAATTAGTGACAGCTCGCCTATTACATGTTGGTCGTTGGTTTCATAGTTTGCAAGATCTAATTTAGGAAAATATCTTATGGGATATTCCTATCAGATCTATCCTTAGGTCCCCAGCTATTAGGAAAGTCGTCGTTACTGTAGACCAAAAACTCCCACCTCTCGACGTTCTAGTAAAGGGTGAGTTAATCAATCTGCATTCTTTTCGAAGGTGGGCTAATAAGGAGATTAAAAAAAGATCGCATATCCAATTTTTTTTGGTAGCCAGCCACGGTATCCGGAGCTATGTTCTGACTAATCCGTTGGTCGACCCGGGTCGCACATCTGGCAGTGGTGGGTGAGTCTCCCAACAAGGGTTTTCTGCATCTACAAGGACTCGAACCCGAGACATTGCTTAAGCGATCAAGCTGTTTACCGCTTGAGCCAACCCCTGTTGGTATCGCATATCCGAATTTGATATGGTTGGATGATGCGAAAAAGAGCTATATAGAGATTTATCGAGAATTTGATTTGGCCAGCGTCACAATATGTTTGGGAACAAGAGGATGGTCGATCGTGACGCCTTTTCCTTACGAAGGAGGGTCAGTCGTGTTGCTCTCCCTCTGAAACAGATCGTGAAGGCAAGAAGAGCCATGAAAGGAGATTGTAGACGATTCAAGCCTGAAAATGAAAAGATGTGGGGTACGACTACATATATGGAGAGGTTCACAGGTAACCCTTGATGGCCGCCCTTCTTTTAGCATCATTTTGTTGATGGTCAACCATCAATGGTCAGTTACGTTTGTAGGGGCAAATTAATCGGATGTTACGAATAATTAATAAAAAGGACGTTAAACGAGAATTGTAAAGAAAATAAGTGAAAGAAAGGATGCTTAACATACAAAGACGTTGATTTGTCGATTTGAAGGTGAGATCGTCAAGGAGAGTGGAATTCTCGGGAAATATATGAAGAATATATGTAGTGTTTATATATGGTAATGATTGTCGTGGAATGACTCGTTGTTGTTTCAAGGGGCATCGGCAGCTGAATTCATACACAAAAAGGTAAGGAGTGCAATAAATGTTATAGGGCGGCTAAGGGCGTAGCACAACCTGTATTCATGCGAATTCTCGACTTTTGATCATGGAACATATTGGGCGGTCACTTTATCAGTACGCTTTACTGGTTATGAGTCCACACACGAGGGGATCGCCGTTCTTCCAGAAGAAGATACTGAAAAGGATCAACATTCTTGGTGTATCAATCATCAATTGGGCAATCGATACAACTTGTTAGCTATGTTTCTTGGGCCGCTTCTTTCTTGGGTTTATATGTCCAAATAGGAGAACTTTTGACATCCATTTTGCTTGGTCAAAATAGGCCGATTTTCTGAAATCGATAAGCCATAAAGCCCTAATCAACTTTTAAGATCACTTCAAATTAATTGTTAATTTAGTTAAAAAGAAATCTGTCATGTAAGAGAATATAATAGAGAGACAAATTGTCATTTTTGTTTAATTTGGAGGCAATTTTTCAAGAAAGAAAATATTGAAAATGTAAAAAAAATCGAGTGTTGGTAATATATTTTTTTTAAAAAAATCCACATTTAGTATTCATCACTACAAAAAAATGTCATATTCCAACAGAAAATCGGTAATATATTCTGATAAAATTTCGACGGATATTCTAATGGTTATATATACACGAAATAATCATTTACAGCGACAGCCAATCTGAGACAAAATCTCAGATCTGATTGTTCATCTTCTTCGTTGGGCATCTCCCGTGTCCTTTCACGTTCTGCTCGAGTTTTATCTGGCACGCAACGACCAAACACCATTATAATTCCATATATACGAAATATATACACGAAATAAACATCGACAGCGACAACCATTCATGGACAAACCTCACATCTGATTGTTCACTTCTTCCTTGTGCATCTTCCATGTCCGTTTAGCCCGAGTTTCATCCGGCACGCAACGACCAAACACCATTATAATTGCATATATACAAATATATACACGAAATGGACATCGACAGTGGCAGCCAATCTGGGACAAAATCAACAGATCTAATTGTCATCTTCTTCCTTGCGCATCTATCATGACCCTTAACATTTAGTCCGAGGTTTATCCGGCGACTTGTGAGCAGCACACAACCACCCTCGCACCTTCAGGCAAGTACAACAACGTCGCACAACCTCAGCCTTTTTGCTCCTCCCCCGTGCAAAATGCGCCAGTGAGATGGAGTCCGACGACATTCGATCCTCTCAAACCAGTCGCCCGCATCCCGCACATCAAGCGACGAGAGCTTTTGTGGAACCGTCACACTCGACCCTGAAACTCCGTTGCGTGCAACCATGAACCGTCGCACTCGGCCCGGAGCTTCTCGATTGAGGGCGGCGGTGATGTCAGTTTAGACTTTACGATGTGCAGGGATTAAGTAGATGTGCAAATATATATGTTTAATTATGTAGATGTGCAAATAATTTTTGCATCTTGTATTTTTCCAATATTGTAAGAATCGGTGCAGTATATGTTCTCATCAATCCTTCCTAGATATTAATAGTAGTTATCGAGCTTAATAGACGTTATGGAGCTTAAATGAAAACAACTCTATTGCCTCAATTCAATGCTTCGATCTTGAGTTTTGCTGCTCGAGATGTGTAATTATTTCCTTATTTCATATTTGAGTATTTGATTTTCAAGTCAATAGTCTTTCAAAAAGTGCCTAGTATCTATGTTTCGAGTCATTACTTTTTTGGAAGTTTCGAGTTGTCGCGTCATTACTTGGATGTTTGAGGTATCACTTTCATGGAAGGTGTCGAATATTCGAGTTTCGAGTTATCACTTTCTTAGAAGGTATCGAGTAACTGATCTTCGAGTCATCACTTTCTTTCGGAAGTGTTTTATTCAGGGACATGGACAGCAAGCTTCTACATATTGGATCACTGAATTTCGAGTCATCACTTTCATGGAAAGTGTTCTCATCCCACAAAGGGATATGAATAGTGAGCTTCCATATATTGAATCACATACACGCACATGAAAACGAGTTTTTTATAAGAAGTGTTCTTATCCCATAGAGGGATATGAATAGTAAGCTTTCATATAATACACAGGATTTTTATTTTACCGTTTTATATTGTCCATTACTAGTAGTACTTGATAAAATAGATCCGTCGAACCACCGCATAATCTACAGAGCTTTAGTCTCCCCAGAAACAGCAATAAAATCTACACCACAGACAAGAGGCACAATCGGCAACTCGGGAATTATAGCAGCACAATAAGGTTTCAAGCACAAGTCGAACAAAATCCCACGACTTAACAAAAAAAAAAAAAAAAACCATCTCAAAAACTCAAAAGACTTGCTACTCATCGATGATACGTCCTGAATAAATCCAAGTTACCAATTCAAAACTTGAGAAATTAAAATAAAAAATAAATACACTACCGTAGAAGAACATAAAGAGTAAGAAAGACACCAACCTCGCATCATCTCATAATCATAAAATATCAAACTCCCCTCACTTCTTGACTTCCTCATACTCAGCCTCCGGCGCCGCCTGATCCCCGCC